TGGTGCGATAAAGTATACAATTTAGGAGGCTAATATTAGAGAAGAAACAGGCTTTAAAGACTACGTACAAGAAGAAAGAAGAAGAAAAATAATGATTTGTAAGCTTGGTTGGTTAATAAGCTTGATATTTCTGTAATTAAACCATTTGGTGAGACTTTGTATTTGTTATCCTTAGAAACAGTTGTAAAGGAGAAAGAAAGCCCTCTCAAGATAATCCATCAGTTTCATAAAATTTATCATGTTTGTATACTTTAATTTACTATGCATTCTGGCTATCATCACGTCAACAATATCCTTTCAGCCTGGAATTTTTTTCTATTAGGTGCCTTTTGAAACACATCTTACATTGGTGGCGATTATTATGTCAAACAATATCCTTTCAGCCTGGAATTTTTTTCTATCAGGTGCCTCTCAAAACACATCTTCCATTTGAAGTTCCATACATTGTTGTATGTTATGTAACAAAGATAGCTTGTTATGACGAACTTACTGTCCTTCTGCTATTTTTCTGAATAATATGTTGCAAAGTTAAAAATTTAGGCCCTCTGACGATATGACTCATGTATTCTGTTTTTATGATTATATTTCTACTCAGCAATTGTTTCGTCCATGATATCTTCGCAGTGCAAAGATAGTATTACAGCTAAAATGCTGGAAGTATTTACCAAAATATAACAAAGATATGTTTTACCAAGGTGCATAGAGATATTTCTGTTGCGTAACATCGTTTTTAGAAACATAAAGGACTAGCCAGATATCTTAATCCAGCACAAATTTATTTGAACCTACACGTATTTGCCCCACTGTAATCTTTGTAGTCTTCACAATATTGATATTAAGCCCTCTACAGCGACTTTCTCTGTTAACCAGATAAACAAAAACCTGAAGTTTTTCGAAAATATAATATAAATCTAATAAATATCGATCATTTTCGGCGACAGCACCACCAGTGTCTCAGTCCTTGTTTTATTGGAATCATACTAGTTCACATACGGCCCAATTTTATGGTCGCGTTTTAATGGTAGTTCGGTTATTTTTAGGAATCGTGAGACCATATCTATCCAGCTAATTCTATGTTCAAAAAGAAGGTCATACTGAGTATGGTCAAAAGCCTTCTCGAAGTATACATAGCAGATATTCATTTTCTTTAAATTCGCCTTTTTAAAAGAATACGTATGCAGAATAAAGCCTTTATGGTTCCCACTCCGTTTAGTATTCCAAAATTTCTCTAACAGAGCAATTAAACAAGATTCTGCAGAATTCGTAAAAGGTTGTTCAAGGCTGTGACTTAATTAAGCTGTTACTAATTTATATAATACAGTGTGTCATTAACTGAGTGAACCACAAATGATAAAGTAATGAAATGGTTATAGAAAAATAATTCCTGAATACGGTTAGGATGAAGTAAAGCTAAAATAATAGTATCTAGTGTAAGTAATGAAAGGCTGAAAATGTAGTCTTAGTGGAAAAACTAAAAGAAACGGCATTCTAGGATTAAGAAAATAGGATTTTTTAATTTGAGAAATCTGAAAAATGTGAGCAGTAAATATGATGGTACGGTAGACATAATAATGAAAGAATAATTTATGAAATCTTAATAATGACTTAAACAGTTTAAATAGTTTTGAATATATCATGTACTTCTGATTAAATATGATCTTTCTAGAATTTATAGCAAATCAAAATAATATTATGAACGGAAAAATCGGAATTTTAGGTGGCACATAACATAAATATTTTGAGTCGCAAAACGAAATAAAAACAAGTTGTTTGTCTGTTGCACCTAGCTACAAGTTCTAGGCTTCGAGCCAATCATAAATTAGTATAATTACTCCGGTATAAACCACTTAGCTAATAAAATACTGATGCGTGAAAAGATTTAGTGAGGAAAAAGCACAGATCGCGGCGCACAACTTTACGTCCAAGAAAAATATGCAAATTAGGCGTAATTCTTCATGAGACGTTTAATTTTAACTGATATTACCAGAGGCGGAACAAAAAGGGAATCGTATAATGAAGAGACAAAAAAACTTTTTGATTATTGCTAATAATACTATTCAGTCGTTAATGCTTTATAATGCACTTTAATTATTCTAATTAATTTTGTTTAATTACTTTATATTATAAAATTTAGTACGTAGTTTTCAATTTGTTTAAAAAAATGTTTTGTTAGTCAATTTGCTAAATTGATATAAATCAGATATACTTTACTAGTGATAGTAGAATTCTGAAAACTTGTGTTTCATGGATTCTAGCCGAATACTTGAAAATCACTCCGTACTCCCACCTATCTAAAATGCATTAATGAATTCCTCCTGGCCACAGCAATCGCAAAATATGTTTAAAAATATTATACTTGTGATAAATCGTTGATTTACAGTTGATCCCGAAATGAAGCAACAGTTTTTACAATAGAAGCTTTTATCCGAGGTTTCACGGATTGCTTTTTTCGACTATAAGATATGGTACACACTGAAAAGGATATATAAGTTACAGCAATCTGCTTCTAAAAAGCTTATGTGAAGCAGTCAAGAGAAAATTTTTGGATTAACGTCGACTGGTTTCTTTATTCTATTAATAACCATAAGTAATAATAAAATCATCAAATTTTGTGCAGTAGTCCTTGGTAAAAGTCCTCAAAACAGTCCCGACATAGTACCTTGCGACTTTTTGGTGTATTCACAACTGAGAATACCTCTTAAATAATAACGATTCGACGACATAGAGATGATTCAAACGAATGTGGCGATGGAATTGAAGGCACTATAGAAACTACTTTACGCGATTTAAATAACCACTGGTAGCTGAAAGGTCGTACTATTGTTAGATTCTGATTACTCTGAAGGATGCTACAAGATAGATGACTTCTAGACTATTGCGATTTTATAAACTAAGATCCGATACTTTTTAGATAGGCCTCTTATATTGGCAGTTGTAAAAGTTGTTGACAGCGTTATTGTAAAAGTAAATCCGATTAAATTTATTTCACTTATTAAGTAAGAATCAGTCTCCCTTTTTATTAGATTAAAAACAAATTTTTCTGACTTGGACAGATCGTTCAATTACCAGTTGTCCTTTGTCAGTTGTCACCGTAAACCGTAAACCGATGACGTAAACAGCGTAATTAAAAATAAAACGTAGTAGGTAAATTAGATTGTTTGAATCTCTTTCGAATCATTTACTTTCTTCTGGTACATTTGTTATATTACTTGCTAGTTTTGTTTAGGTGTGATTTCACTCGTTCCCGATTAAATACACTAAACTTTTTGATCACTTCTTAGGAACATTAGGAACATTATAGATCCGACTGATCCAATACATAGATCCCTATGAATTATGCTGTTGGGTACATAGCATGGCGCAACAACTATTATGCGTAGTATCTTGTTTTGGTACCTTTGGCTGTAACAAATAATACTGTTTTAATTTCGGTCCAATTATTTTCTTTTAGCAAAGATGTGCTTCTGTCCTGTAAATCTGCGGTCCAGATGCATCCCTAGGTATTTATCGTGGTGGGAGTGTCCAATAAGTTTGATTGGTGGACAGTTATTTCGTTTCGTAGTAAACCTCACATAAACGAATTTACTGACAACATTAGAAATCCTAAGATTTCCTACTTGTCGAAACTAAATATCGCTCTGATTATACCTAAGGAGGTTGAAATACGTATACGCGAATGGCAGATGCCCTGCATTGAAATTAAATCTAAGGCCGTCCATCTGTTTCAAATTTACTGAAATTTGCTTTATAACAGATTTTTTAGTTAGCTTCAGGCCTGGTACGTGATGCCATAATAGCACTGTCATCAGCATAGGTAGTAACTAGCGTTGATTTGGTTTCAGATAGATCAGCAGTAAATAGTAAGTCTAGGCTTGGCTCCATTATGCTTCCTTGTGGTACTCCTGCAGAGATAGGAAACATTTTGAAAAGGATTTTGTTTATTTTGATTTAGATTCGCATACCCAGATAATATTTGATCATTTTATGGAAGAGGTATAATAAGTTTTTTTTATTTTAGTTTTGGCAATCTAACATGAAAGGATGTAATGTATACCACAACTGATATTTAATTTGTTTTGTTACGATCTAAACTATCTATCTAAAAACTAAAGAATTAATAATTCCTACTGATACCACGTCACTGTCATCAATAATACTCCACTTCAAAACTAATTACACAAACTTGTTCTCTGTGCGAATTCACTTTTATGCAATTTGCTTCATTTAGTGGTTAGAAGGTTGTTAGTCGATCATATTGCCCGTAAAATCGAATCTCGTAATATACTAATAATATGTTAATGCTTATTTAATAGCATCTAATAGGAAGACTTTAACAGAGGAAAATAGGTTGGAAGTGTTGTAACTGCCTATTAGCGTTAATAACGACAGACACTGTTTGATATTCAATTTTAATTTAATTATCACTGTTAAATCGACTGGATTAAACGCAAACAATTAATTGAAAAATACTAACTAAAAAGTGAAAAAGTTGTAATAACAGTTGTTATTATTTTAATTTCTGAAAAAAACTAGTATATTAAAATCAATCAGAAACTAGATGACTGTAAAATAACTAGTGTGTTTAATCGACTCGTAGTTTCTTCTTCTTCTGGTGCCGTCTTCTAACGAAGGTTAAACGCTTCTCGATCTTTTTCAACGTGAAATATCTGTTCAACACTGAGGTTAGTCCAATCTCTGATATTCCTCAGCAAGATTTCTTCTTTCTTCCCAAGCCTTTTCTTCCCTCTACTCTACCTTGCATGATGACTTGCAGCAGAGAGTATTTATCGTTTCGGAGTATGTGGACCAGATACCATGTTTTTACTCGTAGTTTACCGAAATAAAATCTAAAAAAAAAATGAAGTATGTCATATTTTTCTATGAAGAACAAGCGCAAATCCTCATTTTTATATCCTTGTTTAACTTTATTCTATTCTAAATATAGTTTGATAGTATTAAATGATTTTTTTATACTAATATATTTTTTTATTTCGTTACAGCACGTTCAATCTCAAATGAGGCAGGAATGTAAGTGCCACGGAATGTCTGGTTCGTGCACGGTCAAAACCTGCTGGATGCGCCTTCCTCCGTTTAGAGTCATCGGTGATCTTCTTAAAGATAGGTTCGACGGTGCTTCCCACATCACAACTTCCAATGGTGGCAATGGCCGAAACAACAACAAAGGACACAGCAACAGACTGCCTAAACATCCAAAAATGAACGCCATTATGTCGAACAGCATCCACTCCAAAAGAGAAAACAGAAGGAGGCTGCACAAGTATAACTTCCAATTAAAACCGTTTAATCCAGAACACAAACCTCCGGGTACAAAAGACCTGGTATACTACGAAATGTCTCCTGGTTTCTGCGAGAAAAATCCTAAGTTAGGAATTCAAGGAACTCATGGGAGACTTTGTAATGACACCTCGATGGGTGTAGAAGGGTGTGATATCATGTGTTGCGGCAGAGGATACCGCACCCAAGAAATAGTAGTTGTAGAAAGATGTAACTGTACTTTTCACTGGTGTTGTGAGGTTAAGTGCGATATTTGCCGAACGCGGAAAACAATCCACACTTGTGTCTAAAACTTTTTTTCAAATTTAAAGTTATTGCCAAATTTTAACTACTGGAAGTAGGTAAAAAACAGATACTAATATATAGCGTGTTCCTGCTTCAATAGAATATAATTTTGCAAGAAAAATATACTTAATTTGTAAGGTTTACTATATCCCTCTAACTCAGGGTAGTAGGATGAGCAGAATTTTTTGGTTCTTCTTCCATATTATCTTCTTCTGCAACAAAACCTTCATTTTTTAATTCTAACTCATAATTTTGGGGTGGAATATGAACTGCTCTTAAGCATTTTAGTTCTGGAAATAAATAGATAAAAACTATTCAATAAAAATTACGGTACTTTAAAAATGTATTACAAATATAATTATCTACTAGAAGGATAGTGGTTTTTGTAGTCTATTAAAAATAGATAAATTTTTCCATCTCTTTAAATCAACTTCCACTGTCGAAATGAGGAACACGCTATGCATTAGTTATGATCTGCAAACTTGTACATATTATCATACACAATATTCAATTAAATATGTTGTACATATGTTTTTAACTTATTATATATACAGGGAGTTCCAATATTTTTGTAATTAGGTGTCATTTGTGGACCTTATGTTACAATTTGTTTATAACATTGTCTTATTTATTTATAAAAGGTGGACGTAGTCGTACTAATATTAATATAAAAATTGTGCCAATCCGGTAGTGAACAATAATTTGCATCAGTATTATTATGTAAAATAGAAAGACTGATACTTAGCTTTTAGACGAATGTACATAGTGACTAAAAGTTTCTAGAATTTTTTGTGTATTCTTAAATGTTTCCTTGCAGCCTAAATTATTGCAGCCATAAATTTTTCTTTAAATAATGTGGATATCTATTATATTCTCTTAATGTTTATTAATGAAAACCTAAAGAGTGTTTAATTTAATATATGTTTCCTTTATGTTCCTATGAGTTTTAGGGTTTATTCAAATGATATAATACATTCAGACTTATTTTTGAAATTAAATGTTTTTCTTCAATGCATTTTCTTCTACTTAGGGTGCCATCTCCGTAAGTAGGTTGGTAATCATAGGTTGGCTATTTTTATTTTAAACTTGCGGCTCCAAAAAAAAAAACAATCGATCTGCATTGATACCAATCATGTAGATTCTTCAACCAAGAATTCTGTTTTCATCCAACAGATCTGCTGTTATACATTTTGTAAGTATTTATTTATAGGTCTATCCATCTCGGACTTTGATTATGAAGGGTAATGGTGACAAATCATTTTAAAATAGCATGGACGGTAATCGCTTTTCCACGGAATTATAGGGGTACAAAGGTACCCCTTCGTCGCATGTGCAAACAAAAAGAATTACTAAGAATAATCGAAGTGAGGAAAACGCAATACATGGGTCAGGTGTTGAGAGGCGAAAGATATGAATTACTTCAAGTTATACTGGAAGGAAAAGTACAGAGCAAAAGATCAGTAGGAAGACGCCAGAACTCGTGGCTGAAAGATCTGAGGAGATGGTTCGACCGCTCATCCGCAGAAATCTTTTGCGCAGCAATTTTCAAAACTACAATTTCCATTTGGATCGCCAACCTTCGAAAGGAGACGGAACCATGAGAAGAAAGTAATCCCTTGTTTAGTCTATCACATAAATAATCTGTTCTTTGATTTACTCACCATTACTTTTATATTAAACAACCTTTTCACGATGCTATTTTCTCGTCAGTCAAGAACCTAAAAATTCGTGTTGTAATGGAACTGTCGATATAGGCCTCTGTTTTTATCTACAGTTTTCTCTATTCTGATCTAATTTAATCTCAGTTCTTTTTAAAATACCGTACCATCTTTGTTGAGGTCTCTTTTCGTTTCTTCTTTCTGTTCTTGATCTCTATCTGGTCACATTTCCACTCCAGCTTTGGTGATTTCTAGCCACATGTTTGGCCCAGCTCTATATAATTTTTCTATCTTTTGAAGTTATTCCTAAAAGTTTTTTTTATAGGTCTACAGTGTACTTGTAGTTATTTTTTCTTGTCCAACACCCACGTTTTAAAGCCGTATGTGGTGACATAGGATAGATTCATTATAGATCTTTGTTCTTTACTTTAGATGAATTCTCATGTTTAATTTGTATTTTAATATAGCATATGCTACCTAGCTTAACTTAATTCTTCTATTAATTTCGTGTTCTTGTCTTCATCCTTCCACTTTTTCCGTGGCATTTCGTTTGGCCTTGCGACCTACATCTTACTTTCCAGGGTTTTGGCATCTTTCTGTCTCTATTCTCACTACATGAAGTTAACAAATTTTGAGATTGGTGCCTCTTTGAACAGTTGGTAGGATTTACAGTTGTACCTGGATCTCTCTACTCCGTTTTCGTTTCCATCCATGTTTAATGTTTGAAACTTTCTTCAGTTTCAATATCGTCCTCTAATTTAATTGTGCGCCCGTATTTTCTAGCTCTTGCCTGTGTTAGCGTTTTTATCTTTTCAATATTTATTTCTAGTTCGACATAGGCGCCAATCTGCATTGATTTATTTGTTAGAATATTTTTTTCTATAGTCAGCTGTCTTATTACATATTCGAGAGTCAGGTTGAATAGCCAGCACGTCTCCTTGGTTTAATCGTTTGACTATCGAAAAGTTCTCAGTGAGCTCATTTTTTACTCTGACAGTTGCTGTTGACCATTGTTGCTTTTAATAGTCGGATGTATTTTTGCAGGATGTTAAAGGTATGCAATATTTGATATAGGTTGTGTTTATTAATTCAGTCATGGGCCTGTTTGGAATTGCCTTAGGTAGTTTTATTGTTAGGTGTTCGTTTTGTTGCTTGGTAGTACCATTTATCTTTGCAATATTGATTTCTAATCCCAATTTCCTTCTTGCTTTCTTCTTGCTGCTGTAATTATTTTAGCGTTTTATTAATTTCTGTTTCTTCATGCGCGTATAAAATAACGCAATCAGCGAACCTCAGGTTGTTGAGTCTTTCTCCTGGTATGTTTATTTTTAGATTGTCCCATTCTAATTATTTGAAAACATCTTCATGCATGAGTGTAAACAGTTAAGGCTATATTGTATACTCTTATTTTACTTGGCTTTGTATCATAACTTTTTTGTTAATTCATGTAGCTGTATTCTTAAGGTTGTTGTTGGTTAGATCTTTTAAATAAACTGATATATCGTTGATCCATTATTGGGTTTGTTCCAATAGTGTCAAACTCTTTCTTGAAATCTACAAAGTACAACCCTAAGGGAATATTATACTTATTTGTCTTTATTATTATTTTCAAAACATGTGTAGCTTCTCTTTTGTACAGTTATGCATCTTAAATAGTGCCTGCTCCTTTGTTGGTACCTATAGCTCAAATTTCCTTTCCAGTGTATTTGGTATTATTCTCTTAAATAGCTTGTGTGTTTGGCGTAGAAGATTTAGCTTTAGATAATTTTCTTATCTGGTAATCCGAAATAATAAGTCTGTCGAGACTTATCTTTGTTATTCTTCTGCATAAACTTTTTTATATATCAGTACCTATGACCAATGCTCTTCCCCATTCGTCTACGAGATATTTTTCCATCTTATTAAAGACTCATCATCCCTTCAGCTTTATAGTTTTTTTTATCTGGTAAAGAATCCATTCCTGATATTTGGATGTCAGGTATTTCTTTATAGTTCACATTTATGACAAGTTTTCTATTTTGTACCTAGATGTTTTGCTTTGTTTCATATAGTTCCCAATGAAAAAATCTGCGAGCTTTAACATTTCTTTTCTATTTTTTACAATATTTCCATTTTTCTCCTTTAATCACATAATTCCATTTTTTGCTTTCGTTTGTCTTTTAAAAACCTTCACCTTTCTGTGCTTTTCGATACTATTTTCCACTAGTCTAGTGTATTGGTAGAAATGTATGTAATGTAATATAGTGGGCTATATACATATATTTCTGGAGTTTTCTTTTGTTAATACATTTCATGTTGTTTAATGTTTATTTTTCACCTGTGTAAAGACTTTTTTCTACCTGTATTTTTCCTAGTTTTAACAGGGTAAGTACTTGTTAGTATTCTAACAACTTTTATATGAGATCTGATCCATTCCCAAGCCAAGGTATAAAAAATTATATACTGTAAACCTATTTTTCAAATGTTTAAATTTCAATATTATTAGAATAAGGAATCTTTTACTAAAAATATTATTTATATCCAGTTCTTATCTAAACTGCCATTGTCCTGTTCCAAATTCATGAAAGGTTTATAGGAATGCAACTTTCTTTCCGATATCAGTCATTAGTTTTTTCGATCTTTGCATATTCTGTAGTTACTATGGTTTATGAATTATTATTTTGCTAATTTTCCTATTCGGCCAGTATTTTCATTATTTTCATATCTGTTCATATTTGGTAAGTTTAGCGCCAAAAACTTTTATTATTTTTAAATAACTGTTATAACAAAAAAAGATAATATTTCGAAAAGCTTTCCAAAATGTAAAAATTAAATATTACAGTTTGAACGCTTTTAATATTAGAGAGTTAAAATTGGCCAAATCCCATCCCTCATATTTTATGTCTAATAGGTACATATGTACACTAAATACCTAACATACAAAGATCGTTAAGCTATATATTTGTACCTATTTGACTAAAGACAGCTTTACAGCTCGCAAGAAAACTTGCTGCATTTTTTTTGCAAGATCAACTTTCATGCAAGTTTATTGCCAAGTCTTTATGTGCGATTTTACAGCTTGCAACTCAGTTTGCAATGCAATTAATGTTGACATTTTTACCTTTACCTAAGTTATAAACTTTTGTTTTTTTTTATTACTTATTGCTGTTTATTTAACACTATTTAGTAAATTAAGCAATGGCAAGCCTATTAAAAATAGCCAAATATACAAGAAAAAAGCATTAGCAACAAATTCACCTAGACTTGCATGAAAACTTGTAGAGAAAATGCCACCAAACCGATTATCGCGCAATTGCAAGAAGTTGCAGGAAATAATCAACTGACGACATATTGCGCACGCCTTTAGG